CAAATAAGTGCTATCGCTTAGCAGAAGGTGTTTAATCAGTGTGCAGCTTCCCCGTGTGGTGAAACACTGAACTGCACTGGACAACTTTCTCTATAAAGCTCCCTCAGCCCTGGACTGACTCCACCCACCCTGGTTGGCAGTGGAACAGACTCCCACATGAGATGGTGGACTCTCCTTCATTGGAGGTTTTAAAGCAGAGGTTGGGTGGTGGCCATCTGTTGTGGATGCTTTGGTTGACATTCCTGAAATACAGGGGGTTGGACCCGATGACCTTCAGGATCCCATCCAACTATGATCCTTGGTAAGCCCTGTTGAGTTCAATGGGATTTACTCCCACAGGATTAGCCATGTGGAAACCCCTGGGCAGAAAGGAGTAGAAAGGGTTCCCCAATTCAGCTGAGTCTTCCTTGAGCAATGATCTTCTTGAGCTGTGGTATATTCCTGTATCCTTCATTATTGACTTGTCCTCCAATTCAGATTTGCTCTTTAAGCTAAGAGAGTCCCCTGCCTTAAACCCTGGAGAGGCCCTGCTAGTCAGTGTGTAGACAATACTGAGCTAGATGGACCAAAGGCCTGAGGCAGTTTCCTATGTTCCTGGTGAAATGACCTTCTCCTGGAGAAATTGGGTACTAAATTGGGGAGGGGCAGGAGGGTAGAGAGAATAAGCACATTCATATTATACATTGAAAGCACTATGAAAGCACTTTAAACAGTCATGACTCCCCACCCAAAAAAAAATATTTAAAAAAAATCTGTTAAAGGTCTGAGAGTTGTTAGAAGATCCCAGGTTCCCCTTCCAGGGCTACAATTCTCAGGGTGCTTTAGCAATCTTTCCTCCCAGGGAACTCTGGGAAATGTAACTCTGGGAGTGGAATAGGGTCTCCTAACAACTCCCAGCACCCTTAACAAATGGCAGGTCCCAGAATTCTTTGGGGAAAGCCATGACTTGTTTAAAGTTATATTCTAGCGCTTTAAATATGTGGTGTGAATAAAGGAGGAAGAGAGAGGTCTCTTCCTCAGGACAATCTGTCAGAGAACCAGCCCATCATTCTCATGGGTGCTTTGCTAGTTTATGAATTAGTGCAAAACAAAAACAAACACCAGCCAGCTAGCCATAGCACTCATCTAGAAAAGAAATCCAACACCTTTACGTGAAATTTATTTTTAACAAGGGTTGTTTGTATGTGAGAAATTATGCCTAAGGCATGGCAAGTCATGGCTGGAACTGAACCATGACTCTAAGGGTTGGGAGTTATTGCTCTGCATTGTGGTGGGTCTCTGCCTCTAAGCACATATCAGCACAGTTCAATAAAGCTTTTAGTCCAAGTGCTTACAAAGAGCTAGGAAACAGCTGCATCTCTTTGCTTCAGTGTGACATGGATAGGCGAAACCCATTACTTATGCAAATATAAGTAAATTATATTCTGCCCTCTGGCCAAGGCATCTTCAGTTGATCAAATAAATGCATCCATAATACAAAACAGGAACAAAAAGGAAAATATACTCTAACAAGTCCTTGTAGTACCATGAAAACCCAGCAGGTTGCGCTTGTGTGCCATTTTCAAAAACCCAGCATAGAGAAACACACACAGAGAGAGAGAGACAAACATACTGCTTTTTCTAGTGATACAAGCAGTTTTCAGGTACCATATTCATTTTTGCTGTCATAGATATTAGAAGTAACTGGCTGTACTTTTGAATAAATAAGGTATACTATTCATTGTATCAAATTGTAGATTTCAACAGAAGTCTCATAAAGTTCAACGAAAAAAGCAGAAGTCCCAGTGGATCAGTTCATTCTCTAGTCAGTTCATGCATAAGGTCCATACATGTAAAAGTATGTATTCCACCTGTCTGTTCAAAGAGTCCAATAATCCACATGAAGGGTTGTTACAGTTCCACAGAATCCTTTCACAGAGTCTAAGATAAGGATCTAGGAGTCTTGGTTGACCACAAACTTGACATGAGCCAACAGTGTGACGCGGCAGCTAAAAAAGCCAATGCAATTCTGGGCCTCATCAATAGGAGTATAGCATCTAGATCAAGGGAAGTAATAGTGCCACTGTATTCTGCTCTGGTCAGACCTCACCTGGAGTACTGTGTCCAGTTCTGGGCACCACAGTTCAAGAAGGACACTGACAAACTGGAACGTGTCCAGAGGAGGGCAACCAAAATGGTCAAAGGCCTGGAAATGATGCCTTATGAGGAACGGCTAAGGGAGCTGGGCATGTTTAGCCTGGAGAAGAGGAGGTTAAGGGGTGATATGATAGCCATGTTCAAATATATAAAAGGATGTCACATAGAGGGAGAAAGGTTGTTTTCTGCTGCTCCAGAGAAGCGGACACGGAGCAATGGATCCAAACTACAAGAAAGAAGATTCCACCTAAACATTAGGAAGAACTTCCTGACAGTAAGAGCTGTTCGACAGTGGAATTTGCTGCCAAGGAGTGTGGTGGAGTCTCCTTCTTTGGAGGTCTTTAAGCAGAGGCTTGACAACCATATGTCAGGAGTGCTCTGATGGTGTTTCCTGCTTGGCAGGGGGTTGGACTCGATGGCCCTTGTGGTCTCTTCCAACTCTATGATTCTATGATTCTATAAGGATTTCCGGAATATTAGCCTTGTTTCGCCATCCTAGGCTTCATCAGTAGAACAGGCTCATATGTAATATTACAGGATAGTGGATCTTATAGCATAGTAGTGGTTGCAGTAAGCAGTAACTGTTACAAAGCAGGATTATATGGACAAGCACAATGTTGGTTTGATACAATTTGATACAATGAATAGTATACCTTATTTATTCAAAAGTACAGCTGGTTACGTCTTGTGTGTTTATTGAGTACAGTGGTACCTCTGGTTGTGAACGGGATCTGTTCCGGAGCCCCGTTCGCAACCTCAGCAGAATGCAACCCGCATCTGCACATGCAAGGGTCGCGATTCTTCGCTTCTGCACATGTGCATGACGTCATTTTTAGCGTCTGCGCATGCACAAGCGGCGAAACCCGGACACAACCTGAAAAAGCTCAACCTGAAGCAAACACAACACAAGGTATGACTATGTTTCACGTAACTATAGGTTTGTTGTTGTTGTTTTCTCATAGATATTAGAACACTTTGTTTTGCATCCTTAAAAACATTTAGAATAAGTCATGTCACGGACAATAAATTAAACCCATTTCTTTACCATGTTCAGTCAATTCTTAAGTTTGCAATCACAATGGGTTTCATCTTTTACTAAAGGTGCAATCTCTAGGCTGCAGTCCTATACACACTTACCTGGGAGTAAGCCAGAATTGCTCTGGGAGGAGTGCTTTTCAGGAAGTACTTAATTCAGCTCGGGTAGACTGACATCTCCTTCACTGGAGGTTTTTAAACAGAGGTTGGTAGACCATCTGCCAGAAATTCTTTAGTTGTGGTTCCTGCACTGCACAGGATTGGACTAGAGAACCCTCGGGGTCCCTTCCAACAGCACTACTGGCATTAAACAAGTAGCATTAAACAAGTGGTGAAGTGGTTAGAGGAGGGGTTGTAAAATGTGGTACTCTCCAGATCTGGTTGAACTACAACCCCATCACACCTGACCACTGACCTGGGTTTGCCCAGACCTGCTGCAATCATAGGAGCCAGTGCCTAGGGGCTGATGGCCCTTCGCCACCCCCCTAAAATATTTGAGGGCCCCCCAAAAGTTGACTGGCATTGCCATTCAAATGGTGTGCATCTGCACATCTTGTGATCAATTATGTGTAGCAGGGCTTAAATGCCTCCCCCAATACTTCATTCAAGTTGGCACTGCTGGTTGCAATGTATACCAGACTGACACTCATACTTGGATTGTCTTGTCTTTACCAGAAGAAAAAGAAAAGAAAAGAAAAGAAACAGTTGTTCATTCTCTATTTATATGACATCTCAAGGGCAAAAGCAGTTTCAGCCTGCCTTCTCCCACTTGCAATAGAGTGGGGGACTTTGGGACAATGTCAGGAAGGTGTTATTATTAAAAAGCAGAACTTGCCCCAATCCAAAAAACAGCTCAGTCAAGAGGAACAAATTTAATTGGAGATGTATATTCCGTTATGAGTGCTTCACACAAGCCAGGAAATACTATTCTAACTTAACGTTGCAAGAAAGCCGGAGAATTTCCTTCCTTCCTGCTAGAAAATTCACCTCACATAAATTAAAGAATGCTTTCTATAATTACAATGGGTTTATTTGTTTATTTGTAAACTAAGAGATTCCTCAGGTCGACTGCTTTTCTGGGACTCAGCTGGAACCGAGCCAAAAAACGGAACCATTTTTAAAAAAAAAAATTGTGGGGGAGGGTAATGCCAAAATGTGCTTCCCCTTGTCATTTTTGCCAGTCCTTGTAAAAATATTCATTTATCCTGAATTCTGTGTTGCCCTTCGCTGCCTTCAATGGCATCATCATGTTGCAAGATTTGATTGGCTGTGTTGACCTGTATCATTTTATTCACTGATGCGATATCACCTGTAGCATCGTTGCATGATCCATTTCACTACAAGATCACTGACTACAACCACATTGACAACCCCTCCTCCACGGTGGGCAGGAGATGGATGGACAAAAATTCCTATCATGCAGAAAAGGTTTGCAGGTGAACATATGATGCAGGCCGGTATTCAGGCTGGTTCCCAACATTCTATCACACTCTGGCATATTATTGAAACTAAACCCAGGGGAGAGATGCTATGCAAAGTGGAAGAAGCATTGTCTTGAATGGCTGGAGTCAGCACAAGGGACAAAATTGAATCTTTAGCAATACTGTACAATGAATATGGGTAGTAAGCAACAACATGCATTTGTAGGGCAAGTCAGCCAGATGCATTCTGCTGCAAATTAACCAAAAAAAAAATTATATCCTGTTGAATCTCCCTGCAAAGTACACATTTTTATATTGAGTAGAAGAGTTTTCTTTTTCTTTTTCTTTTGTAAGAATCTTTAGCTCTCTGTTCCATAAAACAGAAAAAACAACAACCCAGAAACCTAATAGAGTTTGCACAACGCTGCAGAATTTATTTTGGCATGAAAAACAATTCAAATGCAACTTTCCCCAGATGATGTAAGGAAACAGCTTTTTTCCTGGCCATTCATAAATACAGTGATGCTATGATTGCAAAAGGTGTTCACTCAACAGATGACAAGGCTTTTTAACAGGAGACAGGCACCATCCTGTCATCAGCAGAGGTTATAATCTTTATGGAAGTTTAGACAAGCTACAACAAAAGGGTGGTTTGTTTGTTTTTTTGAACCCTGGCAGCATTTCTACAACTTTTAATTTTTTTACTTCTCTTAACAAACTTTAAAATAACCATGAACTTCTTATTTACACTATGTACATACTCTTTAAAACCCTTAATGTCCAGATGTTGTGCTTGCTAAAACGTTTGTGCTATGAAGGTCAGCCATTTTTAAAAAATGGAATTCCAACTCCCGTCCACCAGATAATTGCTCTCCTCAGAAGTTCACAAAGACTAGAACCATTGTGACGTCACCACTTGGGTAGTGGCATTCTGTCTTGAAGGAAGATAACGTAAATCACTCACTTAAAGGAAGATAGAATGGTGAAGAGCCAGGGCTCAGGGTAGAGCATCTGTTTCGCATGCCGGAGGTCTGAGGTTTAATCCCAGGCGTGCCCTGGAAGGGCTGGGGGAAATCCCTTCCTGCCGGCCAGTGTAGACAACACTGAACTAGATGGACTGCCTTGGCTTAAGGCAGCTTCCTATGTTCCTAATACTGAGATAAGAAATAATGCTCTGGCTAACGGGTTGAGTTCTCCACTAGAAAAACAAAACCGGAAACTGTAGCAGCTTAAACTATTTGTAAATGAAGACAAACAGTGTGGGGAAAGTACCACACGGTCCACTTCTCTCAGATAGTGCTTTCGATGAAAGATGGTTGCAGCATCGTCTCTGCTTCTGTGCTGTTTTCTTCAGGCGTATTCAGAACATCCTGCTGCTGATAGATATCTTGGACCAACATGGTGTTTGAATCCTTCCACTCCCTGTACTTCCTTGCTGTTAGCTCAGGATCCTCCAACAACTGGTTAATCGTGGCCAAGTCATGTTCCTTGCACTAGAAGAAAGAAAGAAAGAAAGAAAGAAAGAAAGAAAGAAAGAAAGAAAGAAAGAAAGAAAGAGAAGTTTGTGAAACTGGAAATGTGAGTTGACCACTAGAGGTCTCTCATATCTGGATTGTTGTCCAATCCTAATGTTCTCCTCTCCAAGCTATTGGCTCTGGAGACCAAAGAAGATAACATTTTCCTTCATTATTTTTTAAAAAATACCCACATTGTAAACACAACCATGATTTCAGGGATTTTCTGAGGCTGCTAAAATTTACACACAATGAGTTAAATGCCTCAACAACAGCTGAAGTACAGCAACTCCATAAACACTTACCTTTAAGGTACTATTCAGTGCTCGGATTTTGTGGAGTTTCTCATTAACAGCTGGGTTTTTGCACCTCTTGATGAAGGATTTTCTCAGCTCCTTTTTTGTAGAAGGTCGCCTGTCCCCAATGGGAGACAAACTCGCTTGCTCTAAGGACTTGTAAAGTTTCTCCATTTCATCTACGGAACTTTTTGCATCTGTAGGGAAGACAGAAGACAGGCTGTGTCTAGCAACAAGTCCTAGGGCTACTGAGTTGTACTAAGTTGCTCCTTATTTGTCTACTAGCTCTCAAGTGACTGTACAAAGGATTTTTTTTTTTTTTGGAGAGGCTTTGTTTTAATCTCTTCCAAGTTTTCCTAAAGTTATTTTCCCCACATTTAAAACAGCAAAGATTTAGCTCTATGGTATATCTGCAAATATTTGTATTTGAATACTTCCTAACGTGTGCATTTTGCAACGCTGCGCAAAGATAACACCCTGTCAATTGTACTCGGACAAGAGCTAAATATAGACAATACTGAAGAAAAGAGCTGGTTGTGTCTGTCGCAAGACCATGACAGGAAAGAGCAATACTGGGGCCAATTTGCTGCAGCAGCATTTCCTGTGCATATCACTGCCTCATTAAACATGCCCTAATTATGGCAAAAAAATAAAATCTTTCCTACTCATTGTAAAAAGCAGTTGCATATAATTAACGGAAAGTCGCATCAGAATTTATAAATGTGCACCTGCATAAAGTGTTTCTGTGACAGCTTTATGAAAACTCACATACACTGACCACAGAGCAAGAATTAGCTGTGGATGTGTGTGTTTCATTTAGTCTATACTCAGTAAAATAAAATTTTAAAAAAATTCATCTATGGGTTATATTGTTGTTGTTATATTTATTTATACCCCACCTCTTTCTCTGACAGGAACTCAAGGCGGCTTACAGATAAAATAAGAATAGCTAAAAACATAGAAAAAATATTTTAAATAATTAAACATTAACAGTGTGTGTGAGAGAGTGGAACATACAGAAAATCACAACAAAAACAGTCTATAGAGCCCTACTCATAACAACTCTGATGATGTCAAGTTAGGGTGTCCATTGTGGTGCTGGATATCAGAACAAAACCTATGTTCATCAGGCACTTGAGCCTTTATCACTGTTGAACATTTGCTTGAGAACATCAGTTAAAGTTTAGAGGAAGGAAGTGGTCAGCCCTAGAACCAGCACAATGCCACTTAGCAGTTATCAAAGTACACCAAAGATCTTGCTCTCTTGTGTAACCAGCCACCCTGCCTCCCCTCAAGGCAAGGAACTCTGCCCCCCCCCCCCCCGGAATGAAGCAACAAGCTCTGTCTCATATGATAGAAACATTTAATGGTCCTCATAGACCAGGGTTCTCATGAAGATTTCATGCTACTTCAGGCCCTCCCCCCCAGTGCATCCCTTCCCCAGATTTATGAAAGTTGTAGGGGCATTCAAGGAGAGCTTACAGGGTTGTTGTGGCAAATGGGAGTTGTAGGCTGTACAGTGATACCTCGGTTTAAGAACAGTCCAGTTTAAGAACAATTTGGTTTACAAACTCCGCAAAACTTGAAATATTGCCTTGGTTTGGGAACTTTACTCGGTCTAAGAACGGAATCCGAACGGTGGAAGGGCACCGGCGGTGGGAGGCCTCATTAGAGAAAGTGTGCCTCAGTTTAAGAACGGTTTTGGTTTAAGAACGGACTTCCGGAACGGATTAAGTTCATCAACCGAGGTACCACTGTATATGCACCTGACGTTTAAAGCTCCTTCCCCACTCAACAAATTCTAGGAACAAATTCTAGGAATTCTTACTCCTCAAAGAGCTTGAGTTTCCAGGACTCAGACTACAGTTACTAGGATTCTTTGTAGAAGGAGGTGCTGTAAAAGTATGGCATTTGCACAGCCTACGTCTAAACCATTGGGAGAGCACCAGTTGGAGGGGCTATTATACTATTATAAATAATGCCTCATTATGTTGCAGCGATGTTTCATTTTCTAAAGCATCCCCCTTTTTTGTTCTCCATTATAACCAGCCTTGCTGCATCAACAACTGCCAAAGGAAATAAAAATGGCAGTGATTGGACACTGCTCCCCCCCCAAAAAAGGCCTGTAAATTAGAAGAGAAGCCTATGGACAGAGGGGCACGTACTCAAAATGCTTGTTTATAGCCTCACAGTCTCACACACAAACAAGAAGCCACAGAGATTTCTGTTTATTTTTCCTCCTCTACTTAAAAAAAAATTAAAGCCAGGAAGTAGTCTTGGCAGGCTGCATGCAAGTCAGGATGAACAGAAACATAATGTTTAACCCTTTTTTTTGTTTTGTTTGTGGGGCAGGGTGGGGGGCGGGATCAGTTTCCCTGTGCTGCTTCTTCCATAGAGGAAAAGATAATGGGACCCCACAATTTTCACACACACACACACCTCCTTGGGTAAAAGAAGGAGTTTGTGAAGTGAGATTTAAGTTGAACATTAGTCGTTCAATTTGATACAGACAAAAATTCATTCATTTCAAGCCCTAGACTGGTTTCAACAAATCACATTGCTTCCTTCACCCATACTATCACTAAATGAAAGAAGAGGGGGCATCAATCACTACAACTTAAGAGTAGATATGGCACCAAATGCTGGGGACTGAACCTGGGACTCTCTGCAGGTAAAGCAAACAGGCTTTATGGGTCAGGCAGGAAGAGCAATATTGTAGGGCCAACAGATCACCCACTGTTTGACTCACCTTTAGGCAGAGTTTTCGATGCTGCTATTCTAGGCACAGGTAGGCTAGCCTTAGCACTGCGTAATGTAGATGTAGCCTCATTCAAAGAGATCCGAAAGCTGCAGTCGGGTTTGACAGTCCCACTTTCCAGTGTTTTGTTACAGCCTGTTACCAAGTGATCAGTATCCTGAGAGTCACCAGAGGCAGCTGGAGATTGATTGTCCATTTCTTCCCCAGGGGAAGGGTTGTTCACGCTGTCGAGCCACAACTGTCTGTCTGGATACAATTCTTTGGACAATGAGGAAGACGAGGATCCTTCAGACTTCATCAGGCTTTCCGGCGAGGACAAAGAACATGATACTTCACTTGATGCATGCGATGTCAAGGAAGGCTCTTCCTGGTCCTGTTTCTGAGAATAAATAAGAAGGTGGGTGCGGAATAAAGTCAAGTCAAAAGCTGGTCGTGTGTGGCAATATAAAGGGACAAGGGTCAGCGAATTTGAAATCATACTCTTCACCTGGGACACTGCCTGTGAACTTGGGGCTACCATATAGTATACAAGTGAGTGGTATGGCTCCTTTGCTTAATTTTGCCTCAGTTTCACTCAGCCAAATATTGTTTCCTCCAAACAGTACTGGTTTTAAACAGAAGGCATCAGGTAGACCTGGAGATAACCTCATAAATGTGTGAAAGACTGTCTCTTTCCCTACAGACTTTCTCAGGGGATTAGATCAGCAGAGGGGACCATGTTGGTAGTTCTACTGCTCTCAGAAGGTCAGGGGTAGTGGCCTGAGAGAGGGCATTCTTATGGCAGCTCCTAAGCCACAGAATCCCCTCCCCACAGAGGTGTAACAAGCACCTCCCTTCTATAGTTTTTGCCATATGCTGAAAACTCACCCCTTTATCCTGGCTTTTGACTCCTGATATATATATATATATTTGCCCAGTCCTTCTCCTTTACCTCAGAGAACAATCAAGGAAGATCAAGCAGGAAATGCCACCTGAATAATCCATGTCACCATAGGGGCATTTCTTTGATATTAATTTCATTGTGAGAATTTTTTGTAAGCTGCTTTGAGAAACACTTGGAGTTATAAAGCAGGATATAACCAATACACACACACACACACACACACACACACACACACACACACGTGCACACACACACACACACACGTGCACACACACACACACAATTATTTTGATCCTATGGCTAATTAAACAATTTACAGCCTTTTAACCTGGGGGGGGGGAGGTGTTGTTTTTGACTGTTACAACGTTACATATTTTTGTGTTTTCGTATTGTAAACCACCTTGTGATCCTTGGATGGAGGGTGATTTAGGAATTAATTAATTAATTAATTACATGTTTTAACTGGTTTTAATATTGTATTTTTATGTTGTTTTAGGCCACGCCTGGGGCCATACAGTGAAGGTTGAGTAAGAAATCAAAGAAGGAGTACACCTCATATAAATTCTGCCAGAAAAAAAGAAAGAAGTTGGGATGAGCTTGAGGCAATGAGAGATGCCTCCGCTGCTGCCAAGTTAATAAATATTATCCAGACAGATTCCAGGAACTGTCTCCCCATGACAGCTACAGTTGAAGTCTCCCTGCTCTGGCTTCGTCATATTGGCCCAGCAGTCTGCTTTCAAGGCTTGAATATTCTGGACTTCATAAATCTTTAGAACAATTTAGATAGTCCAGAGTTCTGATACAAGTAGGACTAAGAGGTAAATGTGCCTCACTACCAGGGGAGTTCATTTATTCCAGGCAGACTACAAAGTAGAAGGATGCATGAAAAACACCAAGGAGAGACATGCTCCTTCCTAGGCAATGCTATTAATACCTGGGGTGCTTAAGAATGTACATCTATAGTTTTAACTTGGGGGGAAATGCCACATGAAATGTTGCTGTGACGAAGTGGAACAGATCTTGATACACTATATGCCAATAAGTCTTAACAGACACAGAAGAGTCAGCAATGAAATGTTGATCATCTGCTTTGGCCATAAATCTCCCTCCTATGTAGAAATATGTAGAAATAAAGTGTTTTGTTGAAGCAGATCACAAATGAATGCAGGGCAGGAGGAGTCTGTAGCCAAGCATAGCAACTCAATTTAAGAGCATTAAATACCATAGGGCAGGGGTCAGCAGGGGGCTGGTCCACTGTCCCTCAGACCTTGGGGGGGGCAGACAATATTTGGGGGGGGGGAGGGAAATGAACAAATTCCTGTGCTCAACAAATAACCCAGAGATTCGTTTTAAATAAAAGGACACATTCTACTCATGCAAAGACACACTGATTCCTGGACCATCCGCAAGCCAGATTGAGAAGGTGATTGGGCTGGATCCGGCCCCCGGGCCTTAGGTTGCCTACCCCTGCCATAGGATGTTAATAGTCTCATGGAGCTTCAGATAACTGTTGAAATGGTGCATGTTACTTGTGTAGCTGCAAGAATAAACCACCCTTTTCCCATTCATAAGCATTTCTTTTTTAAACCCTCTGAAGTTTTGACTGAGCAATTTTCTATATCACAAATTGATTTTATTCAACAGTAAAATAAAAAGTGGAAATTATTGTCCCCATGGTTTTCTTACTTAAAATGACCTACACTTAACTTTTCAACTGCTTCATGACTCCCATCTATCAATAAACACCCAAGGAAAAATATTATAAAATGCAGGCGTTAGTGTTAGTAAATGGAAAAAGTATTCACTGGAAGATTAATGAGCCCTGAGGGGTCTATTTCAGACTAATGAGATATGCTGCACCTTGACAGCCCACCTGGAAATCTTTGTAGTCTATTGTCTCGAAATGACTGTTCCATTCAAGTAGATATGGGGGAGTTTGCAAATAAACATTTTCTTGCCTGTTTAAGGAAACTTGTAAACCCCCACCCCCACCTCAAAATAACTAATTTGCATTTGTTTCCATCTGGTTGGTGGCTAAACACAGAGAAGCACATCTACTCTTGGAATTAATTACCCAGTAATGATCACATAATCACTGAGTAATGCAGACTATTCCTGCTTTAGATACTTACATTCTGCCTGTACAGGTCCACAGTGAAAGCACACACAGTGAAAGCAAAACACAAAATTATGAATCTGCATGATGCGTTCTAAAAATGGAGGCAACAGCAAAGTTTTGGTCCTACTCATTCCAGGCCCAGCTCAAAACATCCTGGCATTTGAAGCGAACCTCAAAATGGCACGCCCTGCGAGTACCATGATGCCTTGATTACTGGGAAGTTATGAGTTGGGTTTTATTGTTTTGTTTTCAATGGTGTGAACTGCTTTGGTGTTTTCTCTGTAGAGGAAAAGTGATATAGAAACATTTTAAATAAATAAATGTCGTGAGGACAATGTACTCCCTCCAGCAACAGAGGCAAAATGTCATTGGATACCAGTTGCTGGGAATCACAAGCAGGGATGGTGCTGTTATTCTCATGTCCTACTTGTCGATTTCCCGTAGACGCCTGGTAGTCCACTGTGAAAACAGGATGTTGGACTGCATAGGGCTTTGGTTTGATAAAGCAGGGCTCATCTTATGCTCTTATGATTAGCGATTAGAGGCCTCAGGCCCAAACTGCACCCCCCCCCCTGTGTATCAGCTGAGCTGTAGCCCAGGGCACAAACACAGAGAAAGAATGGTGACTGCATCAAGGGAACTTGCTGTCCTCTGGCCTACAACTCACCACCTCTTTCTTTCAGTAGCTTTCTCAAAAAGGAGTACGATAAAAAGTCTCAATAATATTTATGGGGGGGCAATCAAAAAGGAGGAAAAAGTTTGTCAGGTCTTACATCCTAGTCCTTCCTACAAGTTCTCTCTCATATGATGGGGGTGGGGGTGGGAAACTGATGGGAAGGAATGATCTTGCAGACATGTTGGAAGCAGGCAGACTGACTGCTGTTAATGGCCTTGAAGTCAGAATGAAATTAACAAGCACTTCACTTTGTCAAAAGATGTGGAAGAGGTTAATGCCTGTTACATAGCACTGCGGGAGAGGGAAATAATTTCTGTCCTTGGAATGGGACAGTGGTTGAGGTTCAATAATATGAGGCTGCTTTATTCACTGCTGTTATGCAAAAAAAATAAAATTAAAAAAATCAACCGTTAAGTTTTAATATTACATTTTAATATGGCTTTATATTGCTGTTTATAAGCCATGTGATGAGATATGAAACTGAGAACAAACAGCAGCCTGTTTTGGCTTATGCTGGCATACCTGAGCTGCAAGCAATTCACTAGATTATGGAATCACTTCTGTGAACAGGAGACTTTCCCTATGTAGAAAGGTAACTCTGGATACAACCCTGTATCTTTAATTTGATATTACTGTAAATTTATCCACTGCCAGCTTATTCTTGAATTTAATGAGGATGGAGGCGCCAGTGATTTCCTTATCTTCCTTAAACACAAGGGGGTTGAATTAGGAGAGGGTGTTGGCAGCAGAATGACCCAATATCCGAACACTATAAACCAAATTTAGCACCAGCAAAGTCTGGCGTAACTGACAATTGCACAAGCCAAGCACCTGCCTTCCCGAGCTCTACCTGGATGCGAAGTTATTTAAGGACAGAAATCCATGATTTAGAGGAAACTGCTATCAACTGGGCTCAGTGAATAGGGGGTGGAATAGGTTATAGAAGAAGATTGGTTCAAAATTGTTGCAGCATTGTGAGAATAAAGAATGTGCTAGTGTTGAAAGCGCTAGAGCCAGCCTGGGATGCATTTGATTCAACAAAAGCAAAGTGGGTTTTTGTACACCTGCCTCAAATTTATTTATTTTTAAAAACAAACTTCTGGCAGAATTGCAGCAATCCTAAACCATGTGCTACATGCTGTGAGAGGCTTGTTCTTTTCTCTAAACCAAAAGGAAATAAGGCTGCCTGGGAAGGCTTTAGTAACTATTTGGCTGTGATAACTGTTATTTGCTTTCAGCATATAACAGTGTATTTAGCCAAGAGACGTCCGCACCGTGGTGTGATGGTGAGAATGTCGGACTAAAACTCGTCCATACTTCCGCTTGCCCCATGTCTTGAAATAATGGGTCTGAGAGGTTTTCTGGCTTTATTTTGCTTTCTATACACAATTTGCCCCACTGCTTTCCCTGGGAAAACCTACTCTCTTCCCTCCCTGCAGGGAAGAAAGGGTGAGTGAAGATCTACATCAGGAGGGAAGAAAGACTGACATTGGGATCCACAGCCCCTGTGGATCTTGCTGCCTGAGGTGGTCACCTCACCTAGCACCATGGGTGGGCCGGCCCTGCAAGAGAGCCACATGTAGGATACTAGTGGGTGACAGTCAGTGGAATGCCCCAAAACAGGGCATTCTGAGGGCAGGGGGGGACTGAGCTAGGTCTGGATTCGTTGGTTCCCAAGCTGACCCCAATGCCATCAGGTGACTGCATCAGGCCCAGTGTGGGCCTGACTTCCATTTTGGCCACCATGCACAGTGACCCTTCTGGTGGCCAGGGTTAAAATGGAAGTCTAAGCTCCCTGAGTGACCCTCAGCTATTTTACAGGGCTGTTGTGAGGGGGGAAATCGGGGTGGGGGCACCTTGAGCTCTTTGGAGGAAACATGGGACAACAATTTAATTCACAAATGGCGAAGGAGTGTTTTGCATTTATTGTCTCATATGACTGATCTCACAACAGGCCCCCTGCAAGAATACCGAGTGGAGAAGAAGTGTACAGTGCTTTACTGCAGATTACTTAACAGAGTGGCATCTTGCGAACTGGATAGGGTGGCACTTGTACAAGCCATTTAGCAAACAGAAGCTAGCTAATTACTATAATACATACCAAATGAGGCGGCGGCAGCTGATCGGAATACGGAGGGGGTGGCGTCTCCACGTTTATTTCTAGATCTTCATGCTCGCTCTCGCTATAGCACTCTGAAGCAAGAACACAACAGTTGAAGTGCATTAGACGTGCCAATTATAGCACTGGAAACAAAAGTAAACTTATTTCAGGTAACCTGAACTGAAAGCAAAACATACCGGCTCTGACTCAGTCAGGGTCATCTGTGTGCAAAACAAAGGGTATTTTCTGACATTTCTAATTAGCAGAATCTCTCTTTCTCTTTTCATCTTTCCACAGCGTTGCATGAAAAGAAGAAAGAGGAGGTGGAGGAGGAAGAAGACAAAGGCTTTAAAAAAAGCTCTAGGTTTACAAAGTTTCTCGCTGTCAGAGATAAGGGACAAGCAGAGGGTGAGCTACTGTTTAGAAAGGCAGCAAAAAGCTGCAGTACCCACAAAACCCCTCTAACCACTGATGAAACAGGCCTCTCAGAACAAGGTTGCTCTGCAGGAAATAAACTATAGCTTTATATCTAATTCTATGAAAAATGAATTGATGCTCACACAGTCTGAATGGACAGTCATGGCAAAAAAGTGGTATCATAGTGCTTTAAATGTATGGTAGGAATGTCGCTATATATAAATACATAAACTTCTGCTTCAGATCAGACTTAAGAGGGAAGTGAAACTCTTAGTTGCTACTGGTGGGAGGTTGGGACATTCCTTGTCTTGTTTCATGCACTGAAATAGGATGTCTGGCCCTTCCAGGGAGACCCAGCTTCAGTGCTGTGGAGCTCTAGGAAATTTTGCCTCTGCCAAGGAGCTGGGAGTGCTCCATCTGAAAATCTGGAGAGCCTCTGTCAGCCACTGTAGACAATACTAAGCTTAATGACCCAATGGCATGACTCAGGATAAGGCTTCTGTTCCTAAGATGTTCCCCTCTCTTTTCTGTATCTATGTGCCTAGACAGAATAAGGGCTTTAGACTAGAACAGCCTTGGCCTATTGTCCTCCTTCCCTGTACAAAATGCATCTTTTGGATATCGTTGCAAAGCTCATAACTGCTAATCTAATCTAATCATTTTTTTTAAAAAAAAGTTGGCATCTAGCTCTAGCTGAGCATTCATCTCTGAGCATTTTGAATATATTGAATGCCATATGTGTTATCCCTGGAAAACTCCTCAGGTAGAAAGGTGTAGAACAATCCCATTCAAAATGTTCCATTTGAGCATACCTTCTTCACTCTTTTTATTGGCTTGTTTGTCAAGGACAGCTGTACCTAATTTCTTCAGCCATCTGAAAAAATAAAAGCAAGCACAGACATTTGTATGGAATAGAAATAGCCAAGCTGAGAGAAAACAGGTTTGGTAGTTACCAAGTCACTTTCTCATCTTCAACTGAGGGTGAAATCCAATGTGTGCCTTTTCAATCATGAAAGGGTTCTGGGAGATGAGAGGAAGCATTTTTTGCCCACTCCTCCTTCCCCCAAAGTCCCTGAAAATAGGCTCCAGAGAATTTGGTAGCCTTCCAGAACAGGGAAGGAGGCAAGGATTGCCTTGCTTCCTCTTCCATTAGCAGCTCAAAAACTCTTCAATCAGTATAAGGGACACCAACTAGATTCCACCCTGAGAATTTTGATAACAGTACAATAAACCATGAGTGGCTAATCTGTAGTTCTCCAAATGATATTGGACTACAACTGTTATCACCCTTGGCCATTGGCCATGCTGTCTGGGGCTGATGTGAATTAAGAGTTCAATAACACCTGGAAGGCACTACACTGCTACCTCTGCAATAAACTAAACCAAAGCAAACCCATGAATCAAGTACAGCACCTATTACAATTATTGAGTGAGAATGATTGAAGATATCTCCTCCTGTTACCTGCTGAGTATCACAACACAAGCCATCAAGCATCAGCCATTATGGTACATCATATTCAACCTGCTCTCTGCCATTCATGTGCATGCTGCATGCTGGCCCACCTTGCTTTCAGCTGATGGCACACTGTAAGGTGAAGAGTCACAGAAATCCTTCCATCAGCTGCATACTTTATGGTTGGGCAATCTTTTATGAACACTCAAGAGACAGAGGCTACCATCTCCCGTAACAACCAAGGAAACAACAAAGAGACGGTTCTTTTTTGTCTTAAGAAAAAAGGAAGCAAGACTTTTGATTTTACTTACATGTTCATTTCCTCCGCATTTTCTGCTGCAAAATAAAATGTCTTGATCTGTGGATGGATGATCTTCATAGCACTTCCAAAACAAAAACAAAAACATATTCATATATATGGGAAACATTAGATTTAAAAAGTGAGTACGGGGGTCAGTTTACCAAAGACTTTATGATCCCAAAATATTTAAAAAAACCACTTAGCCTGAAATCCTAACTCCACTTACCTAGGAGTAGGTCCCACTGATCAGGCACACTTAGAACTGTGCAGAACCTCAAACTACAGAGTGAGTGTTCACATAGAAACAACAGAATGGGTACATTCATCTCTCTTTGACAGCCCTCACAAGGAGATGAATGCTTATATATTTACCACAGATATGCATGTTCTTTCTCAAGTGCTTTAAAAAGGACTGTGTCATGGGGGGGGGTGGAATTTTGCAAAAATGTGTTTCTTTTTCAAACAAGACAGGGCATAATTAAAATAGTGTGAGCTGTGATTAGATTTATTTGATTGATTGATTGATTGATTGATTGATTGGATTTCTTATCCACCCTTCATCCTAAGGTTCCAGGGTGGAGTACAACAATAGAATACAAAGTTATTATTTTAATTTTAAGCAGGTAAAAAAAGGGTAAAATTATAAAAACTGGTGAAACCATTTGGATGAGAACAGACCAATACAGGTTCATATATACTTTAATGGTCAAAGGCCAAGGTAAAGAGGTGCATCGTCAGCATATGGCAAAAGCTTTACAATGCAGATGCTAGACAAGGCTCTATGAGGAGGGAGTTCCACAGTTTAGGGGCTAGATTCAGGTTGGTAACCATGTTGGTCTGAAGCAGTCAAAATAAATAAAAAAGTTGTCCAGTAGCACCTTAGAGACCAACTAAGTATGTTCTGGGTATAAGTTTTTGTGTGCATGCACGAACATCTGAAGCAGTGTGCATGCACATGAAAGCTTATACCCAGAACATACTTAGTTGGTCTCTAAGGTGCTACTGGGGAAAAAATATATATTTATTCAGTCTAGGGGCTGCCATTGGGAAAGCCTTGTCCTGAGCCAACACTCCTTGCACTTTTGAGGATGATGCAACTATCAAGGCAGTCCTCTCTGCTGACCTTAATGCATTATTAGAGGGTCTGTGGGGATGGAGACAATCTTTCAGATATGTAGAATGAATGGTCTCAGCTCTGCAGTAGAGGTTGCAATAAGCCTTAAAGTACAAGAGTATCTACATAACTACTTCAAAACAATGAGTTTATATTTAACTAAGGAAAGCCGGCTGCCCTTCACATAAGATTTCAGACCAATGAGACAGTAGGGAAGTCATTTTTAAGGCTGCGATATCTCGGTACTAAGTGCTACCCTCCCTTGGAAGGAAAACCAAGCAAGATCCTAATTACATTTTCACAGGCAGGATTAACCTAAGCAGCGGAAACCCTTGCTCAACAGGCATTTCCTCCTCCTCCCTCCCATGTGCCCCCTAAAATTGTTTTTGGGGGATCAGGAGACAACCTCCTGCCCCAAGCAATGCACAGGGGGAGGGAGGAAGGGATCGTTCCATCTAGCAAGTGGCAATGCTTGCAGATGGAACAACTGGAAGAACATGACATTGAATTCCAGCCCAAGGATTTCCAGTACCATATTAAGCTCCCATAAATTCCACCCACATTCATCTCAATGGAGTCTATTGGTTTGAAATATTGGCAATGCTGTAAGGATAACAATGATTGGAGGCCTGTTGAGTTTATGTCCTGACGGACAGTTCTATTTACATAAATATCCATAATAAGCAGAACTAGGTATGAGCCAGCAGGGATCTTCTTGTATTCACATTTCAGCTTGTAAAATTTCACTTTCTCAAGGCTCCAAGTCGAATGAAAGACTTACTACTTTTTCTTGCATTCTGTCGCTTGATTCACTGTGAATTCTGGAAGGCTGAGGAACCCTTCAGCTTTCTCTGCCTGTGACAAAATAAGCCAGCAATATTAAAGCATGCTACATAATTTATTGAAATTAGACATTGGAAATTAACTGGATTTCAGAAAGCTTTTCAGATTACAGAAATAATTTCTAATAACTTGAGATCTAAATTGTAAAGCACAGTAGATAAGAAGAGCAAATTCTACCTTTCTTGGGCATATATGTGGAGAAGCAGGTGGCAGTAGTGCATGGTGGAACAAAAATTCAGGGCTTTTGCTGCAGTCCCATGCTCAGATGTTTACCAACCAAGTCATCCATTTGCATTGGACTGCAGTAAATTCTATCTCATTAGCAACCACACTCTGGATTCTGAACAGCTGCAAAAAACCTCAATGGACTCATCTCGGGTAGGGTGGTTTCTTCACACTCTCTCCTCCAAACAAACAAGCAAGAGGCATTATGAGATTTCAAGAGAACATTCCAGCCAGGTGTGCTCAGAAGTATAAATTTCAAAGTGGGAAACTTCATTTAATTAGGTCTCTCCAGGCTGCATCCAATGTGATATTGCATTAGTGGAAAGTGCTTTTGATCATGCAACTCCAGGCATCCAACATTTCACTGATTTTCCCCCTTCCCCGTGAAAAGATGCTCCTGAGGTCTGGTGGGTCTTCCAGAACATGATGGGATGTGGCATGGAGGACTGCAGTGGGTGGGAAAATGTGGTGCTCTGACTTGTGCAGGCAGAAGTGCCTCCTACCAAGGCAAATCGGTTATTTCAGGAGTGGGGAACCTTTTACAGCCTAATGGGCACATTTCATCATGTGCACCTTCCAGGAGCAGGTACTAGCTGAAAGCAAAGGGAAGGTGGGGCAACAGGTTAGTGGTTTTAGGCAAACAAACCAGGTAAGCAAGAAGCAGGATCTCAGTTGAAGGACACATGCCAGTCAGGCAAAGGCACTGTGCACAGATAAGGGACAGTGAGGCTTCTGAAGGGGCATATTCTGAAGAGAGTCCCAAAAGCTAAGGAGACAACTCTGTAGTGCTGAATCTGGCCCCCAGGTCTGTAGTTTCCCACCCTTGCATTAGCACCCCTCCTTCATGTTTTATTGAAACCAATTTGGGTTAAAAAATAAATAAACCAGTCCTCCCTTGTTTTCTCCCTGCCTGTCCCACACCCATCGTTTTTGATCAACATGCCAATGGAGAAGTAGCCCCCATGTGTTTGGGTAATTGTTTGAGGGGTCCAAATATAGGCAGAATTCATTTCAAACGCTAACATCCTTATATTCTCTCAAAGCTCACTGATGGACTACGAGACACACTGCACCAGCCTGTTGTTGCTATGTTACGGTTCCTTGCATCAGGGCAGCTCAAGTTTTTTTGGCTGAAACAGAATTCGCACTTCATAAATATATAACCCATCGCAAAGAAGTACGAGTGTTCCAGGCAAGCAAGATGACCACCGTTTATTTGAGCAGAGTTTCTGCCCACGCACAGATGTGTGAATGCCTTGCCTCTGAAAACTAAAATGTCTGCTTAGAATTTGAGCTGTGGCATCTGTAGGTGAAGGGGAAAGGGGTTTTCCCCAGGACCCTCACAAAACGGTAACCTTGACTTCCCTAAAAGCACAGAAAACAGCAGATGTTGAGTGACGCTAAGGAACCTCTGTCTGCAGAGGAAGCTTTTGAACTTTTAAACCAAGGATGAAAACAGTCGTTTCAAGAGTGCTGAAGGCAAGAGGCCTGCTGGAGTGAGAGTTTACTGAAAAGCAAGGCTTAAAAAGTGATAACCTTCCACTACCCACCCCCAGCTTCTGATACTTGGCTGTACACCATAACTCAGCAGTGTGGAACCAGGTACCTTCCAGATGTTGTTAGACTCCAGTTCCATCGGTCCCAGCCAGCATGGCCAATAGGCAAGGATGATGGGAGTTGCAGTTAAAACATCTGGAAAGCCACATGTTCTGTATCCATGCGATTTATGAACACAGAGGTTGTTACATTTGGCTAATATGAAAGGACTATCAATGTCCATGTTATACCCTCTCATTTCCTTAGTCCACTAATGAAAGAGGTTTTGGAGGTTTGCCAGCCATTAACCGCCCTGAAAAACTTGTTTGATCAGAAAGTGATGGTGGCTCAAAAAAAATAAGCACACACACATCATGCACAACAATGGCTCCCATCCCCTTTCAGCTCCCTGCAGGACCAAACTCCAGCCTGCAGGGCTCCACACAAAAGAAACTTTCTTTGTCAGCAAAATGACAGTCCCAACATCTATTCTGGAAGGGAAACCCAAATCAGAGCTTCAAAATGGGGTGTGGGAAATCTCTTCCTTGATGCAAGGATGCTCTGGGCTGAGTCAAATTCTGGGGACCTTCAGTGTATCTGAAGAAGTGTGCATGCACACGAAAGCTCATACCAAGAACTAACTTAGTTGGTCTTTAAGGTGCTACTGGAAGGAATTTTTTTTGTTTTGACTATGGCAGACCAACACGGCTACCTATCTGTATCTGGGGACCTCAGGCAGTGTGCAGCAAAACATTTGCCTAGTCACACTTTGTAAATGTATGCCTCTTGTACACAAGGGATATTCATGGGCTCAGAATGTTTTTTATGTTCCAAGTCTTTGCTTTGTACCAGCTTTAGAGGGCTTGAGGTCAGCCAGCTGAAGGAAGAAATTCACTCTTTTCCACAGTGTAATTATAAGGTGGGAGACAAGGGGATTCTCTGTGTGTGGCTTATTCCTTAAGTGTCACATGTCTCGGTTTACAGGGTTTTCCTTTTCTCAGATATACACTTCTTTATTTGTCATTTTATAAGCAGCATATCTTGTGGACAAGTGATATGTGGGGAGGTGTTCATCCCCCAGTGTTAATACAGCAGCAGGCCCTCGGTAATGGTACCCACTCATTGGAATGCCTTCCCTTGGGAAATTCAGGAGACAGAGACAGCAGCCTCTTAAAAACTTATATGCTTTCCTGGACAAAATAGAGATTGAAAAATTAACAGTCAATTCTGTATTTTGTACACTGCACAGTTTTGTTCTGTTTTTAGCCTTTTTAAAGGAAATGCTATTGTTTGTATGGTTTTTACATAAATCACTTAGAGATTTTTATTATATTAAACTTATATCATATTTTATGATATTATACATTTTTATAAATAAGTAAATAGCATGGCTCCATTTGTTGATCTGAGCAAATCTGGAGCCCAGAGATGTGGCTGCCAGGATCCTCTTCAGTGCAAAACCTAAGCAGTTCACTTGGAAGAAAGTTCCACTGTGTACAAAGGGACTTACTCCTAGAAAGGTTTGAACCCTTAGACCCCAACCTACCGTACTTCTTGCTGAACCTCTGTGGGAGGTCAAGGGCAATCTGCTCTCCAGCTCCAAACATTTGAAGATGGGAGAGGTGACTGGAGCTTTAGGAGTGCGCATCTGAGGCATTCATGGTGCCTTGCACATCTATTGTCAATACAGTAAGTCCCAACTGTTTCCTCCAGAACTGGAGGGAACAACAGGGTCGTTTGGAGGGTGGGCAGCCATTGTATGAGTACCTCAGCTGCCCACTGCCAAAAACATCAGTCCAAACTTTCCTTTCTAAATTGAAACTGGAGGGGCTCTATCTTGCCAGTGATCTTCCTTGTCATAGTGCTGAGCCTGTTGGATACTCTTAGATGCAGAAGCTGCCAAGAGCAATGTTGGGGTCATGAGCTCATTCAAACTGTGCACTCTGTCCTTAAGGGAGGGTGTGACGTGATCCCCATCCATTACAAGCAACTCACATTCTCCAATGCCAACTGGACCTTCCATTGATTTCCCCAGTCTTATCTAGATTGAAGTTGAGTTTGTGATTTAATTTGATTTGTTTAGTTAATTTATTTAACCCACTTCTGTCCTGCCTATCAGTAGGACTTCTAGGACAGTTTATAACAAAAACTTAAACAGCTGAAAACAGCAATTAAAAACAACTAAGACCACAGTAAAATGAAAGACCATCAGCCACCAGGAGGTTAAATCACATTTTGTTGTATCCTACCAAAAAACAGGCAATTCCTTTTGGGTAGGGCAGCATTGCCCTAGGACCATCTTTTGGTACCTTATTATGAGACAGGAGTAGAGCCATTCCCAACTCCTAATTGGAAGTAAGTCCAAAAAGATACCTTTTTTTTTTAATCAGAAGCTGCTGGTAGGTCCAGAGGAATCAAAATGACCACATTCCCCCTCTGTCCCATCCAAGTCCACTAAACCTATTACAGTCCCTAAAGGAGATTAAAATCCACAGACTGAAACTGATCTCCATACCGTTTCATCCAAGAGCAACTGGAGCTCTTCCACTATACTACAAGTTCAGCCACACTTCCCACCCAAAATGGAGGCCAGTCTAATAAAACCTTCTTATAGCTTCTTTCGAGGGACAGGAATAATGCCCTCTTTCAATAAAATAGCACATCGTGGACTAATCTGACCCGTCTCCCTTGGCTACATGTTATTAAGTACAAATAGTAAGGATCAAACACACATATGTAGTAGGTAGAGAGCTCCTACGACTCCACATACTAACAACAACTGAAGCTTATCCAAGAAACCTTGAAGAACGGAAGCCAAGGACACTCCTGATATGGATTTAATAACCAATGAGGTGTTCATGTCAGAGCGATTTTATCTACAAAGTGCTTTGCAAACAGGTCACAATGGTTGTGACCTGGTGGTCCGTCCTGCTGATCTAGGGCCCTTTGGGCTGCAATACTACACCCACGAAGCTAGAAGTAAACTAAGTAGGACTTAGTGAGTGAGCATGCATAGGATGGTGCCATATGCCAATCAGTAATGTTCTGCCAAACGGTACAGCTCAGATGCAATAGGAACAGAGCATCAAGGCTGAAATTGTAACCATGTCCACTCCAAAGCAAATCCACAAGAAATCAACAGAGCCTACTCACAGGTAAGTGGAGTTCTTCCACACTGCCAATCAACATGTGGAACCTTGTTGTTCATTTGAACTCATTCTGCATTACCCATGTGTGCTCCAACTGGGTTGTCCTTGTTGCTTTGTCACCCACAACTCTCTCTCCCACTCCCCACACTGCATCCCCCAGAACACCAGAGAGAAGCTTGGACTCTAACCTTTGACAGAGGCCATCTTGGAGCAATCTTGACAACTGCCTAAATTCTCCACCTGTTCCAGAAGTCCAGAATAGCTAGCAACATTAGCTGGAAATTGCAAGGGCAGTTACACAATGGCTCCTACAAAGCTGCGCTAGAATCCTTCTTGCTCAAACGTCCCTCCTGTTGAATTGGAAACATGGAGGAAGCTTGGAGTATGGGGAAGTTAACTGGCATCTAGGTAAAAAGCAAAGGAAAGTGTCCACTTATCTTCCTATGGGCCCCAAACTTCTCTCAAGCAACCTGTTTATCCAAAAACACTCTGTCCAGCTAACATGTTTCAAAACAGGAGGGCTTTGATCCAAACAATGAAGTGAAAATTAAAATAACTTATTCCCTTCCTGTGATTGTCTAAACACACTAAACTGATAGATTCTTGAATTACACATGATAAAATGGCTTAGGAACACTGAATCTTCCCTTAATATACCTGGAGAAACTAAGAGGTTAGCATGCTTACCACTTGATTGCTGTACCAGTATAATGACGAACACTTCAGGACACACCAGAACTTTTTCCATTTGTTGCCAATAAAGCCCCCTTTCTCTTTCTTCTTGTATAGCCATCCCTGGCAATCAGCTAGCCCCAAGTCCTTGCATGATATCCTTCGACGGCTCATTGTACAAATTCCTGTGCGAAAAAACAAAGTGCCACCTTTAAACTGGCATGCAGGGGATGCCAACATTTTCTTTTGAAATACAACCCAGAATTATTTCTGTATGGACAGTTAGCAAAGATAAATTAGTCAAAATGAAGCTTTAGGAATCCATAATGATAGAGAACATTGTGCCAGTGAAACAGAATGCAGATTTAAATCTATTACTGGATGTTTTCCATGTGTGCGTGTGTGATCATAAATATATACAACTGTTAAAATAAATACCCTTCCAAACTGATACGTTAGAAAATTATATTTTCATGACAGTCAGTACAGACTAGCAATGAATTAAGCAGAACAGTTTCTCTCTCACACACACACACACACCCAGAGCTTTGACATACCGAAGCAGCTTAGTCCAAATGAAGAGTGTGTCATTATCTTCCCCACTGAATCAATGTAAAAACTAAGCAGAATAACAGCGTGCTCAACACCAAACAAACAATACAACAAAAACCGTCCTCCTCGCGTGAGCAAAATTTTAACACTAAACAAAAGCAGGAACAAAAGGAAGACCTCGTTACCTTGATTTTTCTTCCTTGTCTTCTGACGCAAAGGAACCTGCAAGAAATGCAGGAAGGAAAGAAAAGAGGAAATTTTAGATGGTGTTGCAATATTTTTCAGAAAGGGAGGGGGACTCTGGAGGAGGAAGAAGAGGAGGAGGTAGCAGACAGTCCCAGCACAGAATGGAATCTTTCAAACAAACACACACAGAGAGAGCTAATGGGGAAGCAAGTAGCTGAAGCATAAAATACTGTAATTAAAATTGATTAATTGTGAAGCTCCATGAGAGCAAGTACAGCACTTTTGTGCCTCTGCAACTAAAGCTTCCTGTTTCACACCCGCAGACAGCTATGCTGTGTAGGGGTAGCTCAAACCAGAAACAAAAATCTTCAGCCGAAGCTTCAGTGCCCTGTATCAGCTGCTAGACAAGCTCTCCAGCACTCAAAGGGCACACTGAACATCGGTACAACAATCACTATCCTCACCGCACACTGTGGTCGCCACAATAGAACAAGTTTGCAAAGAGCCAGAGGATCAAAGGAGGGTACGCTAGTTCAGTTCACAACTTAGCCAATTTAATCCTGCTGAATTCAAGGAGATTTAAGGCTCGAGTCACATATACACACATACCAGCCAGTGACTTAGTGCCTGATGACTCACAGCTGAACGTTAAGAATTGCCTCTCATGGAAACAGCGGCTATGAAAGGAGAACTTGACCAGTGACGGCTGTTTCACACAGGAAACCTGGCATCTGATGTGTGACACATGTTCACCTGTATTCCTGCCTTCATATTTCAGAAGGCCATGTTTGCAAAGCTTTGGGTCTGCTATACAGCCCTTGTGAAAAGAAGGGGCAAAATAAAACATCCAAGGCAAAAATGAGGACGGTATTGGTCAGGCAAAATAGGGGCTGAAGCCTGTTAATTTCTCCTGCCCCTCAGAACCAACAGTTCTCGGCTGCTCTTCGGGTTCCACTGAAGTGATGCCTCACATCACAATAAACATGTTCACCCTAATGTCCAGTTCACATAATTAACTTTGGCACATGTTGTCTTGTGACTAGCTAAGCACCTATCCAAACTGTACCCAGCCACACCCTGAGGATTGTTCAGGGGTAGGATACAGAGGTTCCAGTAAGGTCTGGCCTAGCTACTTATTTTAAAAGGTTGGACCAGCTGACCTGGTTATCATCATCTCAGGGTCTTGGTACTCAAACTCTTACTTATGTTAGGTTAACAGAAAACAATAGAAATGGGACCTTCTGCATGTAATGCAGTTACCCTGTCACTGAACTACTGCCCTTCCCAAGCGAATCAACCAATGAACTAACAACCAAGTTAAAAATCCAACAAGAGGAAACATAACAAAAAAAAAAAAAAAACCAAGAAAATTTAGACCCATATAGACTTCCGGGTTGGCGCGATCCGGGAATGGCGGATTCCCTCCGAGCTCCGGAGGGAATCGGCTCAGCGGTGGATGGGTCTTTGCCGTGCCGGCGACACGGGGACCCTTAAAAACCGCAGGTGCAGATGCCTGCGGACTGAAGACTCGGCGGGTGCCTTAAGCGCCCCCCCTGATTCGCGAAGAGCCTTTTTAAAGGCTATGGAGGGGATACGGGGGACGGCGCGGCACTGAGAGTCGATCGCTACCGCCGCTGAGCGAAGCCGCGAGCCATAACTGGAGAGCGCTGACTTCCTTCCTTGAAATTCGGACTGAAAAAAAAGAACCCGTGAGTAATTTGGAACTGAGCTTTAAAAACTTTTACCTTTTGAATTTGAGACGACCGGGGGGGTGTGCCAAAAGGAAGTCCCCATCCCCCCCCCTTGCAGACGATCCAGAGCAACGATATAAGAGCTAAGCTGGAGTGCCTACCCTGCAAAGGGTGAGTTTTAAAAAGACAGTAACTTCCAAGATTTGGAAAAGCAAATTTAAGCAGGAGAGTGGAGTGTTGGAAGAGTTTTTGTTTTGTGGTAAACAACCCTCCCTCCCGAGCCCGGGAGCGATCTGCTTTGGAGCCTGTATAGAGGAGCAGAATTTGACAGCTGTCAAAGCTGTCAAATGGACAGTTAATACTGAAAAAATTGCTACTTAAGACCTCTCCGGATAAAAAGGAGTTACAATTGAACTAAAATTTTGGGAAACAAAGAAACAATAATAGGACAGAGGATTGTTGGAGAAAAGACCATCCAGTAACCAGATTCCCTCTAGGGGGAATTCTGTGGAATTACAATGGCTGTGGGTGGAAAGATACTGAGAGAAATCGAAAGGATGTTTTCACTGGTGGGAACCTTACAGGAGCAGACTACAGCTATGAGTAAACAATTGACGGCCTTGGATTTGGAAACAAGTAGCTCTGCTGAATGTAATGAGGACTTGAATGAGAAAGAACCCACAGCTGAATTTGAAATAATAAACAAAGAAGAGGAGAAGACAAAACAAGAAAGAGAACAAGTTATGTGGGAAAATACTAACCAGAAGCCGATATTTGGAGAATACAAACAAGGAGACCATTGGATGGAATCTATTCCAAGCCTACGAAAGATACAGAAGATGAAAGTGGAGGCCCTGGGAGTTTATGGAACTCAGGAACTCGAAATAAAGAAGTACAATTGGGGCCTCCACATAGACTTTGATTTTGACCATCACCAAGACTCAGGCCTTGTGGAAATTCCTCAGCAGTTGCTTATAAATATGGGAAGAGACTATGGACTGATTGGATTGAATGTTAATGAAATCTTTCGAGACCCGATGACTGACAAAGAGGACTACCAACAAAACCGGCGGAGAGGGACTGAAATAGATTTGAGAGCCTCGGATGTGCGGAATCCAGGCTAAAAACTGTTATTTTGGACATGTCTTGGGAAAGGACGCAAAGCGGGGATGGGAGGGAGGGAAGTATGAACTTAAGCAACACTCAAGACCAGGGGTTTAGTAATAAGGAAATTACTTAAGAAAAAATGAGAAATCGAGGGAAGAGAATTGGGGTCCAACTTAGGGAAAACTTATTTTTTGTCTCTATAAAAGGACTAATATTAAGAAGGAAGAAATGCTAACTTGCTGACATAAACCTGGGAACAGGGATGCAAGGGAGGGGGTGGGGGGAAGTCAAGGACTAGGGTTAGAAAATAAGACTTTTTGGAACTATTCATGTTTGCTGTTGTTTTTTTTTTATGTTTGTTTTGGTGTTATGTGTTTTGTTTTTGTCTTTATAAAATGTGAAAACCCAATAAAAATTATTAAAAAAAAAAAAAGAAAATTTAGACCCATATAAGAGTCCTATGGGACGCGGGTGGCGCTGTGGGTAAAAGCCTCAGCGCCTAGGGCTTGCCGATCGAAAGGTCGGCGGTTCGAATCCCCGCGGTGGGGTGCGCTCCCGCTGCTTGGTCCCAGCGCCTGCCAACCTAGCAATTCGAAAGCACCCCCGGGTGCAAGTAGATAAATAGGGACCGCTTACTGGCGGGAAGGTAAACGGTGTTTCCGTGTGCTGCGCTGGCTCGCCAGATGCAGCTTGTCACGCTGGCCACGTGACCCGGAAGTGTCTGCGGACAGCGCTGGCCCCCGGCCTCTTGAGTGAGATGGGCGCACAACCCTAGAGTCTGTCAAGACTGGCCTGTACGGGCAGGGGTACCTTTACCTTTACCTAAAAGTCCTATAAGTTATCTGAACTTGTACCAAACAGCCAGAATGAAAGCGATTGAATGAACTTTCGCAGAAGGGAATTCAAGAATTTTGGTGCCACTATGGAAAAGGCCCTGCCCAAAGCACACCTGTATTTCAGATAAGGATAGGAGCAGAATCAAGATCTCTAATCAAGATGGAAAAATATGGGTAGTTAGAACCAGCTCTATAATCAACTTAAATCAGAATCCTTCAGGCTTGACCGAGTTGTGGACCTAGCCGTACAATCTTATTCATCACTATTGAGTTCAGTGAATAAGTGAGTTTAGGACTGCAGGTTTGTGTGACAGAGGGAAATGTGATGTCACAAAATCTATGCTGAAATGACAATGCTGCATCATTATCATGCTGGTGGTGAGTAAACATCCTACGGTTTCATCATAGGTTTAACTCATCCACAGGGCTTAATTTTGCAACATCATGGCAGGAAATGGTTCTTTTTTCCAATTTCAAAACAAACTAGTGGCCGCCCTGTACAAATGCACTAGTGGTTAGCACTGGGATAAGCTAGCATAGCACATTTTTTTTCTATTTCCAATGTTCTGGCTGTGCAGGCAGTCCAAATGGCTTCACCCATGCACAAGGCTTGGAAGGAATCCCAGGGTTTGCAGAAGTATCAAAATCTTAAAAAAATACTGAGGGTTAAAACCTCCCACAAACAGCTTAGTGAAGAGTGAGCGCACTCAGTGGTAAAGAAATGATTAGTGCTTGTTGTGTGACAAAAAGGAAAACAGGATCCTGAATAGTGTAACTCCACATTGCAACATTGTGCTGCATGTTCCATTTGTTTCATTAAGTAAACTTTGGGGAAAGAGGGGAGACACACACACACACACACAATTCCATAATAGAATTCAGAAACTACAAACCAGGAATTAAGCTCCAAACATGGATTGTCCCTACTGGAACATTTGATTTAAACATTGTTTAAGTTGCAGCATGACATTTGTTCATAACCATAATGGAACAAATATCCAATCTCCTTAAAAGTATGACCAACATTGTGTGTGCCTGTAAATTTCAGATCTCCAATCCTCACCTATGTGAAGAAGTCTCAATAAGTTCTTCACCAACAAAATTGGACCCAAGAAAATGTTGCAGAGAAATCAGCAAGCTACTTCTTGTTACAAGATTACAAATAAAGAACTGGTGAGATATCACATGTTTTGATTTTTTACACAGGTTCCTTGTACACAGAAAAGTAGCATCTTGAGGAGAAAGGTTCCAGCCCAGGATTCTTCCTGAGGTGCTGGATTTCTGAGATGCAGGCAGGGCTTTTACAAGAGGAAACACGAGGTATCACATATGTAACGCTCCTTCTTATAGATATATGCTGTATGTACCTGACACAACATCTTGTTGTGGGGGCAGATTTCATATTGTTAGGATGTTCATGTATCTTACTTTACAGAGGACAGTCTTCTATTTGAAGAACTGTCCTTGGAGAAGCCTCTATTTGAAGGTCCAAGTAGAGTTTGAGATAGAGAACCTTACAAAAGGAGAGCAAGAGCCTTAAAGTTGCCCATTAATAGCAGGCTGCTCATGAGAACAAGTCATTTGGTCAGTCTTTCATGTGATGATGAGATGCATTATATTTCTATTTCAATTAGTTATAAATCTGCACATATACATAAAACTTTGGGTGTGCAACTTTTATGCAGATCTGTGTTGCCCTTTCCCCTCTTTCTGACGAGACATATTTTTTTGAATGTGTTCCAGGTGAATCAACGGGCCATAAGGCCTTATACCCCTCAACGTATTCTGCAAGTAATTGTTTTCCCAAAATGGATAGTATCACTTGTTCTCCATTAACAGTGACATTGTATACTTACAGGGGCTTTTCCATCAGCGGCCATACACAAAACCGAAATTGATGGGGAAGCTGGAAAAGAAAATGATACATAATAATTACATTTTAAATAACATTAACTGTAGAAAAAAAATATCTCTCACCAAACAATCCTACGACACTGACTATGTAGTGGAGATAAATCACTACTTGATGTAGAGGAGAGGAGAGGAAAACACACAGCACAGTAAATTGCATGCAAATGGCAGACATTTCTCCAGCACACTGGGAAGAACCACCAAGGCCCCAGATTGGTGGACTGTGTTGGCAATGATACCAACAGGCTGCCCACAAGCAGAGGGAACCAATGAACTCGCAACAATAGAGATACACCTCGGCATACATCCCTGCATCACAACGCCCTTACAACAGTGTCCGCAATCTGTCAGCCCCAGTGGCACAGCCAGCAGTGACTCCACTACTATAGGTATCTCTGTAGCCAGGGGGTTTGAAGTCCCCTACAATCCTCAAAACCACTATCTTGGTGATAAGAACGGAGAGCCCATTTGGGAGTGAGGTTTTCTGAAAAGCTCTACATCAAGCTAATCTGCAGTGGTTTTTTTCTAATTCCTGTCTCATTCGTGAGGCTCACTGAGAAGCAAGATCCCTGTGCACTTCTGCTAAAAATACAAATAATTCTCACATATTACATGCATCATTGTAGACATTAAATCACACTATTATACTCATAGTATTATATATCTATTTTGTGCATAAACAAGTTTCCTAAAGTAACCAGCATATAAACAGAGCCATACAAGAATACATATAACTACAGTATATAAAAATATGGAGACAAGTAGACAGCTCGGAACAGTAACTTAAAGAGAAAAACAAGAAGCTAAAAACTGGGAATGGCAGGTGGGAACACAACAACCGCTGTTTCACTCCAGGGTTCTTTCACCAGTTCATGCCATAAAAAAACGCTCTCCTTAGCTTTACAGCTTTAAAATGTTCACAAACTGTTCTGAGTTGACACGCAGTTAGACAGCTTATGTCCAAAAATGTTCAGAAGCGGGGGATTAAAATTAAGCTCTACAATCCATATTTAAGTAATTATAGAAACGATTTGATTTTTTTCAGAATTTCTGATCCTCCACAAGATATTCTCTGAACATATCTTGGGAACTCTGAAAATAAATTCTACCCATGAGATGATTTGGAAAAACTCCTGGCCCACTTTATGGTAGTGACTAATCAGGCTGAAGACTTGAGATACATGCATGAGATGCAAAATGTAGCAATTTTCTAGAGCAGCTATCTATCTTGCCTACGTGTGTGTGTGTGTGTGTGTGTGTGTGTGTGTGTGTGTGTTTTATAGCTGATCAGCATCGAAGTTTCAGTTAATGGATTCACTTGTCTGAAATTATGGAAAATTCTGTTCTTCCTATGGGATGTCCTGCTGACAGCCAATGTAGAATACTAGTGAAAGCTGCAATCCTAGATCACTTCATCGGACGCAAACAGCACTATTCAATTTGTTGGGCCTGTCTTTTAAATAAATGTAAATAGGGTCAGGCCGAAAGGATGTCAGCTGTCAAGTCAGGAAATCCACAGCTGAAATCTCACCTTAGCCATGAATTCACTATGCAGTTTTAGGTAAGACACATGCCCTCAGCCTCAGCCCCTTCATTATGCATGACACATGCCCCCAGCCTCAGCCCCTTATGTGCAAAATAATCTTTCTTTATTTCAGTTATGTATTTTTCTTTTCCTCCAAGGAACTCAAGACAGTGAACTCCATTCGTTCCCTTTTAAAAATCAGACAACTAACCTGTGCAGTAAGTTAGGCTATGTGTGGGTCACCCAGTGAACTTCATGGCTAAGTGGGGGTTTGAAACCAGGTCTCATATGCTAACATTCGTATCTACCTTACAGAATTCTTGAAAGCAATACTAAAAAATGTATGCCACACAGTCTGAACTCCCTAAGGCAAGTAAAGGGCAGAACGTAGATAGAATTTAGCTTTTTATCATTGCGGGCTTTGCAGTAGGCTGAATTAAACTACCGAAACAAAGACAGAGTAGAGGGGAAATGGAAGTGGATTTAGGTGTGAAAGGCTGGTGCATTCACTTCTAGTCCTAAAAGCAATTTTCTGGTTCAGTCACAGAGACACCCCAGGCTAGATTCAACAAAACTGTTGCCCCAGCAGGAGCCAGCATAAATCCCACAACTGCAATGGGACTTTCCCCATCTTCTTCTCCTATAATGATCTCTGGCAGGCAATCAGGCCCTGATAAGCAGTAATGACTCCCGGCAAGTTTATGTACGTTTATTTACAAAAAGACACACCCAGATTTTATCCAGAAGCCTGGATCAGGGACTGAGAGGTTGATCTTCCCCCTCCTCCTTGCTCCCACTCAACCCAGACTCGGACCTCTGCTTATCTGCTGATTGCCTAGCAACGCTCTGGCTGCCTCCCAACTCTTCCTCTCCTTGGGAGCTAATAGAGTCTTCTCCAGAAATGGGGGTCGAACAGCCCTTTCTCGATTCTGACAGCTAGTTCTCATCTGCAGAGTCAGACCCTCGTTCATTTAGTTCAATCTCTGAGTCTAACTCATCTCCTGCACTCTGGGGGGGCCACGTTCCTGACACCTCCCCCCCCCAACTCTGCTTAGAAGGATCAAGAGCAGGGCTTTTTTCAGCCAGAGCTCACTAGAACTCAGTTCCAGCATCTCTCAGGTGGGTGCCATTGCCATTATAAGAGAACAAGGGAGGTGTTTATGGTGAGTTCCGGCACCTCTTTTTCTGGAAAAATGGCACTGATCAAGAGAATCCCTCAACCAGTGAGTGAGGGGAGGGGCAAATGGTCCACCTGGCAAGCAGAAATGCTTGCACTGATGAAACCATCTCCATAGTGCCAATTCCACCCCCATTCCTTAATTCTAATTAGTACATGTCCATGCCTCTGAGTCAATGTTTGAGCATCTGACTCTGGTTGGTGTACCTCTTGGGGTTTAAGTAAAAGACAAGCCTAAAGTCTACCCACACCTCCTCTAAAACACTGAACATTTTCCAAGTATTATTAAGTAATTAAGACATATTCATTCTGTTCTGGATGAGTAATGAAAAAGCATTAGGCTTCACTAGCCATTCAGTTCAGAGTCCCTCTTTTTTGTTCTTCCCAAAAAGCCAAAATAGTTCAAGCTGTTATAAAAGAAACAACAGTTTCTCTGCTTTGCTAACATGCATTCATGCAATTTGCCCTATCTTGTCTCGAGAAACAGAAATGGGGTGATCTGATGGGCTAGATGATCCTCGTAGTCCCTTCCAACTCTAAAATTCTATGATTCCTCTAGGAGTTTGTTCTTCACAGCAGCTTCCCCAAATTAGAAGTTGCTGTCCGGAGCACATTTATCAGATACATGTCCCACTTAACTTCCCAGTAAAAGTAAGTGTGTGTGTGTGTGTGTGTGTGTGTGTGTGTGTGTGTGAGAGAGAGAGAGAGAGAGAGAGAGAGAGAGAGAGAGAGAGAGAGAGAAAATATCATCCATTGATGTACTATAGTTTTGGGTTGTTCCTATTATTCATAAAACATTTGTTTTTGTTCTTATTTGTCATTGGGATTTGTGTTCTGACATGGAGGCTGCTTCTCTAAGTTTCCTTTTTCTCTTAAAGGTGAAATGATTTCGCAAAGACACAGTGATATCCAACTATGCCATACTCAGAGCAGACCCATTTAATCTATTGACTGAAATTAGGGAAGTTTGTTGCTTTCAGTGGGTGGACTGTTGGATATCACCCAACATGTTTAGTATTTATCTCCTGCTGATCTTTAATAAATGATGTGAGGACTTAAGAGCAGCCTTGTTTCAATATTTAAATCTCCCAGTAGGGAGATCAATTGGGTATTCAATTAACTTTTTATTATGGGACAGGTCCCCCTCCCACTCTGGAAAAAGTGGCCTGTTTTGCCTTTAGAGCAGCAATTTTAAGGACAAAAAAGTGTGGGGATGATAAACTACATTCTTCAAGGGAGCAAACTCTTATCTGACAGTATGTCTGGTTTTAATAATTTTTTAACTGTGTAATATATTTTATTTTGTTTTGTGTAGTTTATCTTTTGTAATGGCTTTGGCAAGAAGAAGAAGAAGAAGAAGAAGAAGAAGAAGAAGAAGAAGAAGAAGAAGAAGAAGAAGAAGAAGAGGCTTTTAATTTTTTTAGAAACTGTTGTAATAATTGAATTTATCCCTTCCATTGATCTGTTAGAGCTTGCCACCTCTCAGGATGGTGTTGTCTCTCTTAAGAAAGTGGCCCCTCTAGCTATAACTAAGGCATTCTCCACCATGAATATGGCTATATTAGCATAGAACTTATTTCTGGCCAATTTGAACACTTTGAGCAAGGCTGGATTTCAGAAGCTTGAAGTTAGCATATAGGGAATGATAAACAGTGAGTTAGAGGCAGACTTACTCATGATTACAGGAGACCCTCTGAAACCAGGTTTACAGGAGACCCTCTGGGACTTCAAGTTAGTCATGACTAAGAAGTTCTATTGGCCTCAATGGATCTTCTCTGTGACTTAAGACTGGCTCAAACCCATGTATTTTGGATACATCCATCACATTTTCATGCATGCCAACTAGAAGTCTGGAAATAGTTGCATTGAAGGGTGGAGTTAAAGTATCTTGAGTACATTTTTAAAATAATTTGTTCTTGAGGGGTTTCTTTCTATACACAAACACCTCAACAATAAAAAAGGACTGTGGAACACCAGACAGAAGTGCCTATAAGTCTGTTAGAATTTGTGAACTGAGATGTGCTATTCTTAATATGCATTTTGCTTTTAATAAGCTAAAGAACAACAAACACTCTAAAACAATAGACCAAAATGCTCACATTGTTGCCTTCAGCTATTGGAAACTAAAAATAAGGCAGATGTTTCTAAAAGTAGCTGCAAGGGAGGAAATGAAAATGAGGAGGGATCCTATAAAAGAAAAGAAAAACCAATGCTGTTCAGAAATTATATTCCAAATGTAAACAAGCAGATAGGAAACACCTTTTTTCATCATGCAAATTATAAAGGAACATCA